TTCTTCTAATTGTTTATTTTTTTTTTTAGGGCAAAGATTGAGAAGATGAAGTTTAGATCCCTGCTTCTCTTGCAGTATATTCTGCAGTATATTTCTCTTCCTTAAGATTCAGGCACAGCTTTCTAACTGTTAGTAAAGGAAGTCCCTGCTCAGAAAACATTTTTTCCCCCCAAGGCTGCTCTTTATAAAGGCAAGTTATATTCTTGTGCAGGAAGTCTATTCTGCTTTCACTTTGAGCTGTCTTTTGGGTACCTTGCTTCCTTATGACACTGTATGTAAATCTTGATCCTAAATTTAAACGTGAAACAATTAATTATAAGAGACATAGAGGCAGGGAAAAAAGAATGAAAAGTAAAATAACTAAGATGTCAAAAGCGATTAAACATTGTCCTACAAATTTACAATATTCAACATGGAAAACGATCACACACACACACACCACCCTTCACTCCAAGACAGCCAAACATTATATGCACTTAAGTAAAAAGCCTTACCTTTCCTGCCTCCTATTTGATTTTCTTGTTGTTATTACTCCTAATAAGCATTTTGATATCATTTTATTACCAATCACTAAAAACAAATTAGCAAACTCACTCCCTGGGAGCAATCTCCCTAAGTGTTTAGAATATTTGGAAAATGCAAACATTTGCCTTCAGATGGCTCCTTATACCTCAGCTCATTATACCTTTTGTTTTCAATCCCCTTCCAAATAATTCTGCTTAAAACTAGCGTCTGTAAACATGAAATAGTTCCAGACAAAAGGCAGATTGCAAAAGAAATAATCTGCATATAAAATCTGTGAAAAGTGCAGAATTCGAGAATGTAAGTTAATAAAAGAATTTCCAAATATCTCAGAGAACAGGTTGGATTCCAACTCATTTTGTTAAAGTGTCTTAGAGCTTTTGAGCATGAAAGTGAATTGCACAAGATACTAAATATGGTTCTCAGATCTTGAAATCCACACTTAATGAATACCTTTTATTCCTTTCTTAACACCAGAAACGCAGCTAATCGGTCTAACAAGTATAACAAATGACTTTCCATTGGCAAAAAAGAGGAGCTTTGAAAAGTATGTTACATTCATAAAGGATTAAATTGCACTCCATTTTTGAGCAAATGGATAGTAAGAATTGCTTTGATAAATCATGACAGAGGTTATCTTTGGCAGATAAGAATTTGGTGCCTATTTGTGAGGATTCTATAAATAGCATGCTCTGAATTTTCCCCCCTAAATATAGTTAGTGATGCAGTCTGGCAGGCATTCTCCTGCAATTAAACAATTCCACATCTGTGAACTGGACTGAGAATGAAAGCTTCATTGTCTCTGTACAGCATACAGCCCGGCTTCTAATGATCTTTTCCACTCAGCTACTTTATAATAATTCTACCCCAAACTTTTCCTAACTATCCTTGTTTGATCATTGCAGGGTCCAATTAGCTAATATTTAGACAACACAAGGAACACAGCGAAAAGTAATTAAGACAGCTTTATAATTTAATTTTCTACCTGGATACACCAAAATAAGAGCTGCTCTCAAACTTTAAATGATCTTGGTTCTGAAATACATTTGTTTTTATATAGTAAATATCCAGACATTAAATGAACCTTTTAAAAATAGGACTGAGGAAAAGCCTGCACAAATGTGCCTGTCTTAAAACAACTCTGCGTAGATCAGCCTGACACTGAGCTTCTACATTCCAATGAACAGCCTCTACTGCTAATGCAATATGCCATTTTGAAGGGATCTTTGGAGCCTGTGTAGACCATTCCTCTCTTGTAGGTAAGCCTAGCTCATAATAACATTCTAAGAAATTAGACAACTAATTTATTTTATTAAAGATTTCTAGGAATGGAGATTCTACAGTCTTCCTCAGTTATTGGTTTGAGTGTTTAAACCACTTTTACTCACAGAAGAAAACCCTTCCCTATGTGTAATCTCAATCCCTCACGCTGTATTTGAGTCCAATTTCCTTTTGTTCTGGGGTCAATGGAGGTAGACATAGTTCATCAGCTTTTACCATTGAATATTGCTGTGACTCACCCTCTTCATAGAGTAAGATTCATTATTTATGAAATAGGTCAAATATTTGTCCACTTTGTGAGGACAACACATGTTTCATGCATACATGTATGTATATATACTCACATGCAACAACATATGTATAAACACACACATCATACATGAGTATGCCTATATATGTATATGTATACTTGTGAAATAAATGCATATATACATACCTGCATTTTTGTTGTTTAGTTGTTTCAGTCATGTCTGACTCTTTGTGACCCCATTTAGGGCTTTCTTGGCAATGATACTGGAGTGGTTTACCATTTCCTTCAACATATATGCATATGAAGTCTTCTTTCCCTTAGCCAAAATTCTAAATGTTTCTGCTGAACTAAAGGTTCTGATGCTTTTCCAGCTTAAAAAATCCATTACTATAAATCTCCTAAGACCTCCCCAGACTGAAAGTGTCATTCCTCTTCCTACAGTTGGCTTAAAGATATCTTTGCTGGTTTGTCTTTCCATATTAGTAGATATGTTATTTCTATTAATATAACATACCCAATATATACAGGTGTATGTGTAATACAATGAACACTGTGTATATGTACACCCATAGGTACATTGTATAGCTGCACACAAATGCACGTGAATGAGTGTTTGCATCTACATATATATGCATGTGTGTGCACATGTATGTGTATATGCATATACACACTTATATAAAATGGCTTACAATGGTTAACAACAACCAATTGTTCTGATCAGTGTACATGACCAGCCATTTAATTTTGTGAAATCACACCCTGTTCCTAAGAATATACAGATAAGTCATAAAATAAAGATAGCCACATTGTGTTATAGAGTATGGGCCATGAAAATCAGGATAATTTGGAATCTAATGCCCCATCACTGCTCAGTAACCCTGGATGAGTCAGCCTCTTTGAGCCTAAGTTTGAGCTTATGTAAATGGGAATGGTAATTAACATCCACCTCCCAGGGTTATCAAAGGAAGATCAAAGAAGATAATGATGTAAACTGCTTTGTAAACCTTAAAGAGCAATAGAAATACCAGATTGTTCTCTTATTTTAAACAAGGGAGATCCATCTCTTTCTTGGGATGATCAATGATGAAGTTTCCAGGGGTAGGGAACCTGGGCCCCCCGAGGCCACATGTGGCCCTCTAGGTCCTCAAGGGCAGCCCTTTGATTGCATCCAAACTTCACAGAACAAATCCCCTTAATAAAAGGATTGGTTCTGTAAAACTTGGACTCAGTCAAAGGCCGTACCTGAGGACCTAGAAGGCCTCATGTGGCCTACAGGCCTTGAACCATGAAGGTTTGAACCATTCCTATCAGACTATGTAAGCACTCATCCAGGCTAGAGAAAGGAAGAGGGCCTAAGAAAGGTCCCAGACATAGGAAATGAATTGCTTGATATGTCATCACACCATGAATAGTTAGGAAATAGCTTTGAGAAAATTCCAGAAGTCAGCTGACTATAGACCTATGGGTTTTGATCACGGTCATTTGAAGGTGGTTTCAGTAGATAATTACCCTGTCTTTCCTTGCCTGGGCTTCCTTTAGAAATGGGAGAAAGAGGGAGGGGAGAGGACATGGAGAATGACAATCACTTTGTGCTTTGGTTATTAGTCTGGGAGTTTATTTGTTTGCTTCCATTTTACATTCATCTCACCATTTGATTCTCATAGATATTAAAAGCAGCATGCTGGGTTTGACCAGAAGATATAAGTTCATATCTTGCTTCAGACAGAGAGATAGACACAGGTGGGGGGCAGAGGCAAAGGCAGAGACAGAGAAACAAAAATAGAGATAGAGAGACAGAGACAGAGAAAAAGAGAGACAGAGAGAGACAAAGACAAAGTGAGACAGAGAGAAAGGAAAGGAGGGAGAGAGGAAAGAAGGGAGGGAGGGAGAGAGGGAGAGCACTCTGTCAGAGTGTGAAACAGGCAAAGCTGGCATTTTAAATTCTCCTATGCAGAGAAGGAAACAAGCCCAAGAAATCCAGTTCTGCTGACTTCTCGCATGTCTGGTATTTTTCCCATTCCACACCAGGCTATATCACTGCTCAAGCCATGCTTTCACAACCTCTCCCGAAGTTGTCTGATCATACTCCTTAATTAATGTGAATGTGCTATGAAAATACTGGCGCACTGGGAGTGTGCTTTTCAGTGGCAGCAGCTACAACAGGTTAACCAGCTTGGATGGATGAGACCCGAGCATGGGTGGGAATCCAGCAGGGGCCTCGCCTGGTTTTTTATAATGGGCTTTGAAGGGCACCAAGCTGGCTCTGGGGTTGCTGTGAACCCTGGGCTAGGCAGGCACTTCATCCCTGTTTAGAATCACTGTACCCCCTGTCAAAGCACTTTCTTCTTGCTCTGGGTGTGTGGGTGGCAGTCACTTACAGCTGCACCACACCCATGTCTGCACCAATTTGAACTGGCACTTCTTAATGACAGAAGTAATTGCTAAAATTGGAATTCTGTGGTACTTATAATTTTTTAGTTTTAAATTAAAAGAGAAAGTTAAAGGGTAGATGAATATTAATTTCATGAAGCAAAACCTTGCAGAAGCAATGAAACAGGGCAAGGGGATATAGAAAGATTTCCTTTAAAAATCGTATTCCAAGTCTACATAGTAGATTGACATTATTGTTAATGGCTTAGTTACCACAAAGTTCAATGCAGCTGAAAGGAATGAAGGGTCCCCACTTTAGAACCTGTTGTCTTGACCTACCATGCTGACTGACCGTACAGCATTATCTCTTGACCTATTTCTCACAAGTCTGATTTTTTGACAGTGAACTTTGCTTAAGTATTTTGTCTAGTGGATCTTGCCACTCCTTGAGACACAAAAGGAAGATTTTTGTTGTGGGGATTTCTTTTATCTTTTTAAAAAAATCACTCTAAAAGTTATATAAACGCAGAAGAGAGAAGTGAATAAACAGAAGAAAATGAATTCTTGGGCAGGCAGAATGTTATCTGAGAAGCCCTGGCACTCTCCAAGGCAAATAACCTTGGTGTGAAGGCCCGCCGCGTTTAACTCTGTACAGGCAGACCCCAACTAACATGGTCCCATCCAATGTAATTGTTCAATTATATTGTTACTACATTGTAACCAAACCTTGAGGTAAAACTGTTCTGGAGAAGTCAGCAGAGGGGGAAAGGAAAGGAGAAGAAGAGAGGAGAGAGAAAATAAGACATGAGTTGGGGGGGACGTGAGGGAGGAAGAAGAAGGAATTTAGGGAAGATCAAGAAGAGGGAAGGAAAAGAAAGTGATTCATTCTATCTAGAAACTTCTCTATTCAACCCCATCATTCCTTTTGTCTTCCCTCTCACCTTTCTCTAGAATATGCTTCATCTACCAGATTATTGTGTTTTCACAGAACCAAGGAGATAGGGTATTCCTGTGAAGGATCCAACCCTGTGAGTATACATCTATATACAAATAAATGGGTGTGTGTGTGTGTGTGTGTGTGTGTGTGTGTGTGTGTGTGTGTGTGTGTGTGTGTGCACATCTACCCAGGTAAGGTAGAATGTAAGACCCTTGAGGGCAAGTTCTTTCTTGCTCTCTAACCCTAGCATTTGGTGCAGTACCTGATACATAGTAGGTACTTAATAAATACTTACTTGCTGATGGATCCATAGATAGATTTATATCATCAGTACCTAAAACAATACTGGGTATATAAGTGCCTGTTGAATTGAAAGGAGTGGAAAGGAATGGAATTGTAAATTCTGTGCCTAGATTAGCCTCCTTTGGCATATTCTGAACAAGCATTGCTAACTGTTTCACAGGGTTTCCAATGGTTCTTTATCTAGAGATGAACTAGCAGTGCCTTGGGGGACAACTAGATAAGGAATTTTAGCAAAACAGTGTCTTTCCTAGGCGCAACACTATTCTATAAAGGTCAGAACATAAGTCACAATTCACGTCTGCAGACATTTATATGCCAGTGAGGCAGAGTTCAAAACCCCACCTGCTTACATTTGATATTAGTAACCTACTTAGTCTGTCCAGAGGGTTAGGTGAGGGAGCAAGGAAAAGGAGGCCAAGAAAAGATGAAGGATGCAAGAGAAGCAGGAAATTAAGAGAGCTACTAGGAAAGGTGCATATGGTGGGGAGGTACCACTCGGTGGCACCAGAGACACAGGGCTGACAACCTGAGCTCTAACTTGTGAATAGTGTTTGCAGTGATTACCACTGGGACACTTTATGAAAGCTAGAGGGAACAGTAGATAGAGAGCCTGGCCTAGAGTCAAGAAGACCTGAGTTCAAATGCAACCTGAGACACTTACTAGCTGTGTGACCCTGGGCAAGTCACTTAACCTTGTAAGCCTCAGTTTCCTAATCTGTAAAATGAGTTGAAGAAGCAAATGGCAAATCACTCCAGTTATCTTTGCCAAGAAAACCCCAGATGGGGTCATAAAGAGTCAGTCATAACAGAAACAACTGAACAATAAACACTTTATGGCAAGGAGGGGAAAAAAAAACAGCTCAAAAGAAATAGCTTTATATGCCCACCTGAACCAGTCAGTTTGATTCATGAGAATCTAAAAGTTAACTCAAATACAGGTTTTCCTTCATCTGGACAGATTTTTTCCTCCTTTTTGTTGCATGATTAAATACTCTGTTGATTATTAGATAATTCACAGTGCAAAAGAAGGAGGAGGATAAGCTTTTTAATTACTGGCAATCCACTCTGGCAAATGGATCTTTCAATTTGTCCAAGTTCTGGATGTCCAGACTCGGCCAAGCTCCCCATCTGCTTCTTCCATAGGAGTTGGGGTGGGGGAGGGGCAGCTTGGTTCAAGTTCTCACAGAAAGAATAAGAGAAGTCTCGACAAAATGCTTAGCTCCAAAAAAAAAAAAGAGAGGCACAGCTCTGAATTAGAGTCAAATTTCCACAATCCTCTGCTTTTCTGGTTTACAGGCTAGAAAAATATAGACTGGACTGGTAATGTATCTTTAAGAAATGGAGGCATGACAGAAGCTAGCCTTGTTTCCTACAGGTGGTGCAACATCTTAGCAACCTGGGATTTTTGGGTGCAGTCCAGGAGTGCTCAAAATGTCCATAATCCCTTGGGGTGGCATTCACACCAGGCTCTACTGTGCTCTTCCCTCCCTTTCAGTCCGCACCTATTCCAAAGCCTGAGGAATTTCCAGAATGCCAAAGAGCCAAGACGCGCCCAGAGTTCCTGAATAGGGGTGGGGGGCAGGTGGTGGGGAATCAGGGCTGAATTTTATAAAACTAGAATTGGCAAGCTTCTCCCCTCAATGTGCCTGGCAGGAGGAGGTCCAGGAAAGGTGGAAAGGTCACGTCAGGCAGCTGCCATGACTCCATGTGAAAACACCCCCTTGATGTGCAGGCAAATGGAGGGCAGGAGGAAGAACAGTGGGAAGCCTGAGGCAGAAGCAGCTATGGTGAGAGGATGGTGGGGAAACTGCATTTGCCTGGGTGGCAGGCAGCAGTTGAGAAGAAACCAGGGACTGGCATGTCAGACAGGAAGGCCAGAGTGCCACCCTCTGGTATGGGTGCCAGGGGTTGCTTGCTAAGCTCTGTTGTAGAACCTTCCTTACAGGCACTTGGCATTTGAACCACAAGGTTTTGGCCACAGGCCCAAGCGATCAGACTGTGTGCCCTGCTAGACAGTAATGCCCTCATCGTATTTAGCTAAGCGAATGCACCCAGCGCATGAGCTGGGATACTGTTTATTTAGATTCTTTTCTCATTTCCTAATTTTGAGAAAACCTCCCCTCAATCATCAGATAGAAACTAAATTCATGGAGATTTACCTTTTGTTCATTCTATAGCTTATGGGGATTATTTTTTAATTTAAAAATGTTTTTAATTTTTAAAAAATCAATTTAAAATGGAATTAATGCCTTCTAAGGGAGCAAATTGTGACTTTCTTGCTCAAGAACCTTCTCTTTGCTATGATGTGAACGGCCTAGTCATAAAATAATTTACATTTAGTTATTCACCTCAAAAAATTGGGAGGTAGGCAAAGGAACTATTCTTCTCTCCTTCCATAATACTCAAAGAAACTCGATAGCTCAAACATCGCGTTTTCAGATAAATCTAATGTGTTAAGTGAAATAAGTCTTCCTCTGTGCTTCCAATGTCCAGATCCCTTTAGGCTGAAGGCATCCTGCTAGGTTGCCATGGCAATCGGATCATCAGAATTCACCCTACACAGGATCATGTGGAAAGAAAGTGGGAATTGACATCATTCTAGACTGACCTATAATGTCCACTGTCTTTAACTTAATTTTCATGAAAATTATATTGGGGCCAAAGATTTGCTTATTTTATTCTGCTCATTTATTTAAGTGGCATAGTGGATAGAGGGCTCGGCTTAGTGCAAGAAAGACCTGAGTTCAAATTCAGCCTTGGAAACTTACTAGTTGTATGTCCTTGGGCAAGTCACTTGACCATTATCTACCTCAATTTCCTCAGCTGTAAAAATGGGGATAATAATAGCATCCACTTCACAGGGTTGTTGTGAGGATCAAATGAGATAATATTTGTAAAGCACTTAGCACAGGGCCTGGCACATAATTTTGCTGTTCTTGTTCAGTCATTTCAGTGTCTGACTCTTCATGACCCTGTTTGGGTTTTTCTTGGCAAAGATACCGTACTGGTTTGCCATTTCCTTCTCCAGCTCATTTTACAGATGAGGAAACTGAGGCAAATGGGGTTAAGTGACTCAACCAAAGTCACACAGCTAATAAATGTCTGAGGCCAGAGTTGAACTCAGGTCTTCAATGACTCCAGGCCCACTGCACTACCTAGCTGGTTTTGGCACATAGTAAGCACTATATAAATGCTAGCAAGGATGATGATAATGATGATTGATGGGGTTGGGATCTAGGCCCCACAAAAGAAAAACCCTGGACTTTCCCTTAGCCAAATCTCTGGCGTTTGCCTGAGGCTATAATCCCATCAACTGGTCTTTCATTGTGGCTACACCTAATCTCCCCTCCATTGTCTTGCCTCCCTGCTGGCCCCAGGCCACTTCCCACCCTTGGTAACTCTATTACCTCATGGACTATTTGGCCACTCCTAGATCCCTCCCACAGTCTTTCTGTATATAAGGTCCATCTTGTCTCCATTAAGATGCTCAGGTTCTTATAATCTAGCCACTGGTCATATTCTTATAATCTAGCCAATAGCTTACTAATGTTCAGACTCCTTAAGAGTCTGCCCAATATGATGGATGTTCTAATAAATCTTGTCTCTGGCTGAAAGAAGGTTTGGGTCGATTTCTTTTGGGCAGGACTCACGTATTGTGATTTTGGGGTCCCAGCACCTCCGAGCCCCTAAACTGCATCAAAGATGATGATGATTAAGGGGAATCTCTTCTCACTTTACCATAATATTTATTTTCCTAAGACACTTATTTGAATTCATTTACTTCTTCAAAAGCAAAAGTTGTCAAAAGTAATTTTAAGAATTAAAAAATTATTTACATTTATATAGGAATGTAAGGTTTGTAAAGCAATTTAAATACATTATCTCATATGACTCTCAAAACACTGTGAAGTAGGTATTATTCCCCATATTACAGAGGAGGAAACTGCAGCTGGTAGATTAAGTGATTCTCAGGGTCACACACATAGCATGTATCTCAGTCTAGATGTATCAAGCACCTGCTATGTACCAGGCATTGTGCACAGTGCTGAGAATAAAAAGAAGGGCCATAGACAGTCCCTGTTCTCAAGGAGCTTGCTGTCTAATAAGGGAAATGACATGCAAACAAATGCATACAAACAAGATACAGGGAGGGTAAATTGGAGATAATCTGAAGAGGGAAGGCACTAGCATTATGGATGACTGGAAAAGGCTTCCTGTAGGAGGTGGGATTTTAGGTGGGACTTGCAAGAAGCTAGGGAAGCCAGGTGGTAGCAGTGAGGAGGGAAAGAATTCAAGGGATGGGGGACAGCCAGGGAAAATGCATGGAGTCAGTGATGGAGTATCTTGGCCAGGAGGAGCAAAGGAAGCCAGTGTGGCTGGATTTCAGAGTTTATGGAGGTAAGCAAGGGATAAAAAGACTGAAAAGGTGGGGGGTGGGAGGAGGGGATAAAGAGCTTTGAATGTCCAACAGAGGATTAGATGTTTGGTCCTGGATGTAATAGGGAGGTACTAGAGTTTATGGGATGGGGGGGTATAACATGGTTAAACCTTCGCTTTAGGAAGATTACATTGATAACTGTGTGGAGGATGGATTAGAGAGGAGAGAAGCAAGTAAATCTACCCACCCACCAGCAAGCTATGGTAATAGTAGGAGAATGAGGTGATGAGGGCTTACCCCAGGGTGGTGGGAAAAAGAAGGTGTGTATAAGAGATGTTATGAAGCCAAAAGCAACAGGACTTGGTAACAGATTGGATATGCAGGGGGGTGTGTACGTGTGTGTGTGTGTGTGTGTGTGTGTGTGTGTGTATGTTTGTGTGTGTGTGTGTGTGTGTGTGAGAGAGAGAGAGAGAGAGAGAGAGAGAGAGAGAGAGAGTAATGACATATTGGGTTTTGGGTCATTTGCCTTTTACATATCTATGTTCATGAAAAGGAACCAAGTAGTTTTTAGGCAAGAAAACACCCAGGGTACTACTAAGTAGCCACTAAAGCATGTAGACTGGGTTCCAAGACGAATGCATTTCTTTACCTCAGTTCAGCCCTCATTATCATTTAACCCTCTATCTTCTGGATGGTCAGGTCGAAAGTCTGAGCTACTTGAACCTGTTTTTTTTTTCTAATTGGTTTCACAAAGACAGGCTCTCAGAAAACAAGAAGATCCAAATCATAACACCATCTTGACAAGAAAAACTGGTTGTCCCAAATGTTCTGATTCAAGTCATTTTGTTTTCATGGTCAAAAATGGGCAAATTTTACCAGTTGCTAAATGGCCAGCAGCAGAAACATCAACCATGTAAATTATTCTGGGGTGGAAAAAATAATGAATTATGAAAGTCCTAGGACTTTTGATGCTTTAGATGTTCTTAAATGATGGAGAAAGAATCCTTGTCAAGTTGCCTAGCGTAATGGAAGATGCTACTCTAAAAAGCAAGCGACACCCATAGATATATTTGGATATAGTTTTATAAATTCATCTCATCTTAATTTTATTCAGTTGTGTCCAACTCTTCTTTGATTTTTATAAGCTATTCTCATTGCTTTCTCTGTCCTCTTTAAAAATGTTTTATTTTAAATGGTAGCAAAATTTATTTTTAGTATCCCTATTTTTAAAGTTTGGTTGGTTTTGATGTAGCACACCATTATTAGAATGATTGTTATTCATTCTTGTCTAATTTGTAGCAATTTCACATTTCGACCTGTAAAAATCTCAAGTTATATTTAAAATCTCTATCTCTAAAAGTATACTACCACTGAATAAAAAAAAGCCATACAATATGCCATGTAATTTCAGGATGACACATAGCTGTGGTTAGTTATAATCACAGCCCACAAATGGCAATATGTAAACCTTCCTATTTTTAATATCAATATCTAAAATGGAAATTTAGCAAAAAAAAATGTTGCTGCCACTATTCAACTTGCCTTACTTAGTACTTGATGGATCTGTGATTTAGGCAGCTTGAGGACCTCCAGGAGTGGGAATTCTCTCCACTCCTTCAAATTCCACTACCTATTGAGAACTTCTGGAACTAAATAGGTTAAGCCCCATGAAGTTGCTTGAGGCACACAGTGTGGAGTAAGGGATAGGGCACTGAATTTAGCATTGGGTAAATCTGGGTTCATATGCCACCTGTACTGTTTATGATCTGTGTGACTATGTTCAAATCATTTAACCTCTTTGTGCTCATCTGTAAAATGGGGTTGTTAGACTCATTAGCCTATAAGGTCCCCACACCAGCTCTGACTCTATAATCCTAGGACTTTAGGTAAGGCCAAACAGCTAGTTAGTGTCAGGGGCTGCATTTTGAACCATGGTATTCCTGATTCTAAGACCGGCACTTTGTCTCTTAAAAAACAGAGCCATGGAGCCACCTAATTGGAGACTTAGAAGGGGCCTCAATGTCCCTCTAATCGAATCTGTAAATGACAGGAATATTCACTATAACATACCTGGCCAGTGGTCAGCCAATCTCAGCTCAAGGACTTCCAAAGAAGGAGAAACTGCTCTTCTCAAGGTCAGCCATTCTGTTCTTCATTTGTGCAGTATGTGTTGGTTTGGTTTTTTTTGACTTGTAATCTCATTGGTGTAGGGAACTTCCAGGTGAGGAAAGTCCCTTTACTAATGCAGATAGATAACTTCTCTGAAACTTAGTTTCTTAGAGAGTTCCCTAGAGCACTGAGAGGTCAAGTGACTTGCACTCATTCTACTTTTGGACAACTCTAATTGTTCAGAAGTTTCTCCTTACCTCAAGCTAAAGGCCAAAATGGCCTCTTTCATCTTCCACCTTTGTTCCTGGTTTTGCCTTCTAGGGCCCCAAAGAATAAGTCTAATTCAATACCCAGATGAGAGTCTTGTATATCCCTGAAGGCAGTTATCATGTCTCCCCTTCTCTTTCCTAGACAAAACACGTCTAGTTCCTTTCAGCCAGTCCTCATAAGGCATGACCTTCTGTCTGCCCTGCTGTGGGTACTCTCCGGTTCACCAGTGCCCTTTAGCCAGATCTGATCACAGCACTCCACAGGAGATGTGGTGAGGGCAGAGTGTAGTTCCCTTTCTATTCCTACAAGTCATTCCCATTTTCATGCAACCCGCAGTCACATCAGCTTTCTTGACTGCTGAACCATTATGCTACTTCATATTGAGTTTGCAGTCCATTAAATCCCCAGATCTTTTACAGATCAGCTATCATCTCACGATTCCTCCCCCATCTTATAATTGGCAAAATTGATTTTTTTATACCCAAGTTTAAGACTTGACATTTATTATTTCATCTTATTGGATTCATCCCAGGGCCCTGGCTTGTCAATCCTTTTGGATCTTGACCGCCATTGATGATGTTGACTATCCTCAATTCTGTGTCATCCGCAAATTTGATGAATTTATCCAAGACATTGATAGAAATGGTTAAGTAGAACAAAGCTAAGTATGGATCTCTAGGGGAGATGTCTCTGATGCCACATTTTTTCTTCAACATGATTATGAGACTAAATTTGACTTTTTATGTTTATTATTCAAATGCAATTCATTCCATTAAGCATTTATTAAATACCTACTATGCTCTGCATAGGGGCAGCTAGGTGGCCCAATGGACAGAGTGTCCAGCCTAAAGTTAGGAAGACTCATTTTCCTGAGTTCAAATCTGGTTTTAGACACTTAATAACTGTGTGACCCTGGGCAAGTCATTTAACCCTGTTTACCTTAGTTTCTCATCTGTAAAATGAGCTGGAGAAGGAAATGGCAAACCACTCCAGTATCTTTGCCAAAAAAATTCCAAATGGGGTCATAAAGAGTCAGACACAGCTAAAATGACTGAACAACAACAGATGTTCTGGGCACAGTGCTAGGCAGCATATAGTAAGCACTTAATAAATGCATGTCAATTTGAAAAACAGCATCTGTCCTCAAAGAACTTCCATTCAACTGAGGGGAAACAATATGTGTACCAGTAAGTATGTAGGAAATTATAAGAAAGGTGAAAACCGATACATGTGGGAAAACTAGGTGTTTATGTAATAGCACATACGCCTGGCCAAATGAAATTTGGCTTTGGTTCCCGGTTTACAGAAAAGATTGTCAGTAGCGAAATCTCTTTAATCCATAACAATCACCAAAAGATTTTAAAATCTTTCCAGAAAGCTCAAGGAGTACAAAGTTCTATAAACACTGAAATTCCCCATCTAGGAAGAGATGCTGAATGTTAAGCAGACATCTTGATGTGTGTAAGCAGCTTTTGTTTGCTCCCTTCCCCCACCCCCTCCTTGTTTCTTGGTGTTAAAATTTTGAAATCTTTGTGTCAACAGCTCTATACCTGGAAGGTAAGTGGCAAAAAAAAAAAAAAGAATGAGCATGAAGGAAACAGCCCTTTGTGTGACCTTTCCCCTGAGTCTGTTTTTCCTTTTTGGCTTATTTGTCAAATTTGTCAAATTTCTAGTGTGTGTAGAACTCTACTTAAGAAAACATCAAAATCAGGGAGATAGTTATGAAGTATTTATGTATTACAAAAAATGCTTTGAAAAAGCCTGCTACTGTGTGAACCTGGGCAAGTCACTTAACCCTGACTGCCTCCAAAAAAAGAAAAAGAAAAAAAGAAAAAGCCTGATAGCTAGCCTTGGGGCCAAGGACACCAGGGTTCAAGCCCTACCTTGGGAATATGTGAACCCGGGCAAGCCAGTAGCTTTTCAGTGTTCTAGTCATATCTTCAAGATTCTTATTTGCAGAGAAGGTACCAACTTGTATTGATAGGACTTTCCTAGTCAGGGGGTTCCTTATACTGAGGAAATCATAGGGCTAGTTGCTGCCCCCCCCCATTCTAGTACAACCTGCAGGACCATTCCCCACTTCTAGCTGTTTTTGCCTTTTATCCCCAATAATCAGCATGATACCTGGCATGTAGGAGGTGCTTAACAAATGCTTGTTGGCTTAGCATGGCTTGGTGGAGTGCAGACAGTTATGGCGGATTTAGGTATTAAATCAACACACATCACTCCACTCCCTCTTCTGCTAGCTGAGCATGGTCACTCACACCACATGGATGAGTAAGAAGCCACCAACTATAATCTTTTTTGAAAGATGGAGGACCACCAGGTTTGATCATTTGCCTTGTCACTGATTCCTAAGATCTGTTGGCTATTACTTTCTGATCTGCTACACACCCTCTGGTCTACTGGTCCTTACTCAACTGCTTTCAGTTCATAGACAAGGCTATTCCCTCCAGACTTCCAGTTATTACTATTCGATCTTTTCACACACTCTAAGAATTCCTTAGCCCTGCCAACCATCACAGGACCACCTCTGAACTCTCCTATCTATATGGTCTACCTCCAATTAAAATGTGAGCTCATTGAGCTCACTGTCTTGGTCTTCTATTTGTATTCTCAGCACTTAGCAGTGTGAGGCACATAGTAAACATTTAAATTTTTCCATTCATTCATTCATTCTTCCAAAGAACTCAAAGTACTTTTTAGTTCTTTCCGTCATATCCTTTCGGGAAGATAATTGCATCAGGTTAAATTCTGTTTATAGCTCCATCCTCTTATTTAATTACCTCCCTGGTCTTCCTTAATAACAATAGCTGATATTTATATAGCACTTTGTAGGTTTGCAAAGTGTTTTTCACACTTTATGGGAGGCAGGGAAATAAAGAGTTAAGAGTACTAGGTTTGGATCAGGATTCAAACCCAGGCTCTGAAAATTAGAATCATAGGATCATAGACAAAGAATTAGAAGGGACCTCAGAGACATCTAATCCACATTTTATGAATGAGGAGATTGAGGTGCACGTTGATTAAGTGGTTTGTCCAAGGTTACACCAGAAGTTAGCCTCAGAGGCAGGATGCTACCTGTGTGACCTTCAGAAAGTCAGTGACTTACCTGGACCGCAGTTTCTTGTGTACTAAATGACCTCTGAGGTCCCATTCAACTCTAAAAAAAATTTATGATCCTTTCATCTTGTTTGAGCATCCTCAAGAACAGTGAGAAATAATTGCTATTATTACTCTTATTTTACAGATGTGAAAAATGAGTTTAAATGACTTATCCAAAGTCACACAAATTAGTTACATTTCAATGGTGAGATTTGAACCGAGGTCTTCTGATTCCAAGTCCAGCACTCTAACCACGCTACCTCACTGACATCATAGAGTCATGAAATTAGGATACTCAAATTTGATCAATCTTATATCATTAATACAAATTACATTTATTAAATAAAATTATGAAATGCTTCATGAAGATTAATAATGAAATTTTTAAAAGAGCATGGGCCATCTTGAATGTGGAGTTGGGCAGATAACTTCTAGGTCCAAAAAAACAACACTGTACTGATTAGGATTACTGGTCTCCAGAAAAGTTATCTTAATGGACTTCATAAGTAATATGATATAGTCTATATTATATGTTCCATAGTTTATATTATAAGTAATATTACGTAGCAGTATAGTCAGTCAATACATTTATTAAGCAACTACTATATGCCAATCACTGTGCTAAACTTTTAGGATAGAAAGGCAAAAGACAGCCTGTCCTCAAACAGCTCCCAGTCTAAGGGGGGAGACAGCATAATATCCTATAGCAGGCATTTGATGAAAATTTGTAGACTTGAAAAGCATATTTACCAAAAGTTAAGGAGTCAAAGGATAGGAACATTTCCAAAGAAGCTATAAACAATATGAAAAATGCTCCAAATTACTAATAAGAGAAATGCAAATTAAGGCAACTCTGAGTTTCACCTCACACCCAGAGAATTGGCAAAGAGAACAAAAGACAGAAATAGTCAATGCTGAAGGGGCCGTGGGAAGACGGACACATTATTGCACTGTTGGCACAGCTGTGAATTGGCTTAACCATTCTGGGAAACTATTAAAATCATGTAAACAAAGTCAGTAAATTGTTTAAACCTTTTGATAGAGTGATCCCATTATTGGGTAGATGCCCCACAGTCAAAGATGGAAAGAAAGGTCCCATATATGCCAAATTGTCACCAGCATCACTTTTGCTGTACCTAGGAATGGGGAACAGAAAAGGGTGCCCGCCATTTATGCAACATCTGGATAAAGTGTGATTCGTGAAGTAATGTTTATTATTGAGCTGTAAGTAAGAGATAGGGATAGTCACTGGATAGGAACTGGACTTGTAATTTCATTGGTATAAGGGATTTCTGGGTGAGGAATGTGAGTCAGCTCCTACTTAGCAACTTATGGTCTTACAGAATTGCCTAGAGCCCTGAGAAGCTAAATGATTTCTCCAGCATATCACAGCCAGTGTCTATCAGTGGCAGAACTTGAATCTACGTCTTACTGGCTTTGAGGCTGGCTCTATCTAGTATGCCACATTAAAAACAAACAAAACTCCATGATTCTCCAAATCCCCCAAATGGGGAATGTTTGCATATTGGCATCTGGCATAGGTTCAACTGATGTGACCTGCCCATGTGGAAGATTCTAGGGAACTTGCTTCTGGGAGAACCATGATGACATTTAGGGAGGTGCCTTGGAGACACTGTGGACTTCTTATTCC